TCAGTCTTGCCTATGTCTGTTGTTCACCTTAAGGAAATCAGAGAAGGACTTGTGTACCAATTATCTCTCTAAAGTGTATGCCTTTTTCCTAAATATGGTTCCATCATATTCCTTAAAACAACACCAGAGAATCCTAACATTGGAGGGACAGGCAGGCAGGGAGGGGAGGGTCAGGCAAGCAGACAGGGAGGGAGGGCTAGGCAGGCAGTGAGGATGGGGATGGCCAGGCAGGGAGGGAGGGTGGGGAGGGCCAGGCATGGAGGGGATGGCCAGGCAAGCAGGCATGGCAGGGAGGGAGGGCCAGGCTGGCAGACAGGCAGGGAGGGGAGGGCCAGGCATGCAGGCAGGGAGGGGAGGGCCAAGCAGGGAGGGGAGGACCAGGCAGGGAGGGGAGGACCAGGCAGGCAGGCAGGGAGGGAAGGGCCAGGCAGGCAGGGAGAGGAGGGCCAGGCAGGCAGGGAGGGATGGGAAGGCAGGCAGGGAGAGGAGGGCCAGGCAGGTAGGGAGAGGAGGGCCAAGCAGGCAGGTAGGTATGGAGGGGAGGGCAAGGCATGCAGGGAGGAGGGATGGGAGGGCAAGGCAGAGAGGGAGGGGAGGGGAGGACCAGGCAGGGAGGGGAGGGCCTGGCAGGCATGCAGGGAGGAGGAGGGGCAAGGTAGGCAGGCAGGGGAAGAGGGAAAGGGGGAGGGCAAGGGTGGCAGGCAGGGAGGGGATGAGGGCAAGGGTGGCAGGCAGGGAGAGGGAGGGCAAGGCAGGGCATGCAGAGATTGATAAAGAATTGTTGACTAAATTAATATTTACACTCTGTCATAGTCCCCTGCTGCCTGCATCAAATACACAGTTTCTCCCTCCCTTCCTCTGCCTGCCTTTCCTCACTACAACCCTCTCCCCCTTCCCCCCTCTCTCCCTCCAACTCTCCCTGTTTTGTCTCTAGGCTGATGCCCAACAATGAGCACCAACTATCATACATGTATTATATCTAGAAACTAAATTCCTTTCAGGGTAAATTGTAACTTAAAATTATCATAACTCAAGACCATGGTAATGCATGTGACCACTGTAATATTTGTTGTTGTCCAGGCTGTTGGTGATGTCACTGCTAGTAGCATGGTCATGACTGGTGGTGTCACAGCTTGTGTTGATGCCTTGGCCTGTGCTGTTCATTTTGGCACAACTGGTGTTGGTGCTGTCATGGCTGTTATCACAGCTGGTGTTGGTGCTGTCATGGCTGTTCACACAGCTGGTGTTGGTGCTGTCATGGGTGTTAGCTGGTGTTGGTGCTGTCATGGGTGTTAGCTGGTGTTGGTGCTGTCACGGGTGTTACCTGGTGTTGGTGCTGTCATGGGTGTTAGCTGGTGTTGGTGCTGCCATGGCTGTTATCACAGCTGGTGTGGGTGCTGTCACGGCTGTTCACACAGCTGGTGTTGGTACTGTCATGGCTGTTCACACATCCGGTGTTGGTGCTGTCACAGCTGTTCACACAGCTGGTGTTGGTGCTGTCACAGCTCTTCACACAGCTGATGTTGCTGTCACAGTTGTTCACACAGCTGGTGTTTGTGCTGTCAAGGCTGTTCACACAGTTGGTGTTGGTGCTGTCACGGCTGTTCACATAGCTGGTGTTGGTGCTGTCACGGGTGTTAGATGGTGTTGGTGTTGTCATGGCAGTTATCACAGCTGGTGTTGGTGCTGTCACGGGTGTTAGATGGTGTTGGTGTTGTCATGGCTGTTATCACAGCTGGTGTTGGTGCTGTCATGGCTGTTCACACAGCTGGTGTTGGTAATGTCACGGCTGTTCACACGTCCGGTGTTGGTGCTGTCACAGCTGTTATCACAGCTGGTGTTGGTGCTGTCACGGCTGTTATCACAGCTGGTGTTGGTGCTGTCACGGTTTTTATCAGAGCTGGTGTTGGTGCTGTCACGGCTCTTATCACAGCTGATGTTGGTGCTGTCACAGCTGTTCACACAGTTGGTGTTGGTGCTGTCATGGCTGTTATCACAGCTGGTGTTGCTGTCATGGCTGTTCACACAGCTAGTGTTGGTGCTGTCATGGCTGTTCACACAGCTCATGTTGGTGCTGTCATGGCTGTTCACACAGCTCATGTTGGTGCTGTCATGGCTGTTCACAGAGCTCATATTGGTGCTGTCATGGCTGTTCACACAGCTGGTGTTGGAGCTGTCACAGCTCTTCACCAGCTGGTGTTGCTGTCATGACTATCACAGCTGGTGTTGGTGCTGTCATGGCTGTTATCACAGTTGGTGTTGGCATTATTGTATGTGGTCCATTGATACCAGTGAAAGCACCACCAATTTCATAATCACTGTCACTCTTCTGCAACAGTAACATCCTGTTTAAACGTGTTACCACACAACAGTGAAACAACACAATGAGGAGAGCCTGACCTAGTGTGACATTGCACCAGTGTTTGTTTCACGAACAAATATTCTGCATCATTATCACGTGATTTGGCACTCTTATACATATACAGCCTCTCCTCACATAGCGACATACTCATTTCCCGATGCCTCAAACTTACAATGGGCTCTCTGACTAGTATTTATGCCTAAATAATGTATATTAGAGCTGATTTCTTCTATTCTGTTTATTTCAATATACAGTACACTACCGTATAAACATTTAAAAATATACCAGAACTGTTATAAATGGTGCAAAGATGACATTAAAACAATATCAAAGATGGCTGACACAAACCTACTACCAATATAGTATGCTCCTCACTTAGCAATGAATTTGTTTAATGATGTTGTCTTGGAATGGAACTCCGTCATTAAGTGAGGAGAGCTGTACTACTCTTCAGTCATTGCCCTCATCACTAATCACTATCCAGATGGAATTGCTACATCTTGTTGAACTGGCATTTTTCATTCCTGGTTGTATGGCCGTTGTTGTCTCCTTCAAAACTGGAAAAAAGATTTCCCAGATTTAACTGCGAGAAGTGATAGTTTATTGACCAGCAATTGTGAGCCTACATTTACTGGTGATATCACCCACAATGCCCCATGTATACCCATGAGGCTTGGATGTTTTCCCTAGGAGGCATGAGGTACCTAGCAACCCAATCAAAATGGCAGTGCACAGCAAATTTGAGACTGAAAAATTGTGCATACTAGTATGTAGGTACAGTCATCACTTGCATACTAGTATGTAGGTACAGTCATCACTTGCATACTAGTATGTTGGACACAGTCATCACTTGTATACTAGTATATTGGTAGAGTCATCACTTGCATAAGTTATGTTGAGATAGAGTAGGTTAAATAAGTCTATAACAGTGTACAAGAGGGCCCCCACTTATACAGCAGGTTAGGTTCAGGACTGTGCTGTAAAATGAAAATTGCTGTAAAGTGAAATATAGCCCCTTTTCACTTTTAAATGCATATAGAAGCCTGATAACATGTTTACACTATCATATATTAAGTGAGCAATAGAGCAAGGCCTAAAAAATGGATATACAGTACACACATTTCTTACCTTAAAATATTTTTGCCCTTATTGGAGTGGAGAGAGAGATACATGATGATATAATAATAATAGTTTATTAAGACATGATACATAGTTGTACAAGGTATTATAGCAGTTGGGTTTACATGTCAAAAGTCCCTTGTATGCAGAGCATTATGGGCAGGCTTAAAATTAACAGATTAATGGAATAGTTAGAGTAAACAGTTTACAATATCAAGTACAATTGAGTATTTTAAACAATGAAATTTGAAGCATTGTAGTTTTACAATTTTGTAACATTACAATGAATAATATAACAAAATGATCAATTACCTGAATTACCTGATCAAGTACTGTACCTGGAAAGTACTCGAGGGCTTGGTCCCAAATCTGCACACTGCCATAACAACATACTGGAGTGAGAGATATGGGAGGAAGTGTAAAAATAAACCCAGTGAGGAGCAGGGGTGCAGTGGGGACAATAAGGAACACTGTATCAACATCAGGGGTCCCAGACTATTCAACATCTTATGAGAAGATATCAGAAACATGGCTGGGACAAGTGTAGAAGCCTTCAAGAGGAAACTGGACAAGTACCTTCACCAGGTGCCAGATCATCCAGGCTGTGATGGATATGTGGGGTAGCGGACCTCCAGCAGCAACAGCCTGGTTGATAGGTAAGCACCAGACGAGTGGTGGCCCATGGCCGGCTCAGAGAGTAGAGAAACTCTCGAAACTCTTCAGAGGATATCAAAGGCATTAGCTTATAATGGCTGAATAAATGAAGAATGGGTATAATTGAAAACCACTGTATTAGTGAAATTGTGTCCAGCAAAGCACTGTAAAGCGAGGCTCTCCTGTATGTTGAATTACAGATAAACAAATTAAAAAACATCTGCAATAAGTCCCGGCAATGAGATGCCAAAAAAAGACTTAGATTATGACGTGGTGTGAAAAATGTGCTGCAGGCAGAAATAATAATTTATTAGCTTCGGTTGTCTTAAATACTTTCCTTATATGGGTTTCTCCAAAGATTAAGTAATTTTATCTAATTGTACAGGTCTCTTGCATAAATTCATATTAATGTATTCCCCCTGAAAAGTATAATTAGTTTGTCATTACAGTATTTTCAATACATTCTACAAATATTTCATTAGCTTGACATTACAGCTTTATTGTTCTCTCTAATAATAATGCCAAGAAATTATCTTTAACTAATTCCTTGTGTCTTTATAGCCCTGTATCTAGTTATCCTTTCTCCTCTATTTTTTCTCCTATTTTCAGCAACCTGAGAATGGCTGTTACATTAAATCTTTCTAATTATATTTCTTAAAAAAAAAAAATAATTGCTTCTAGTCCCTTAATTCTCAAAAACTTCAGTCAAAATAGTTGTTCCCATTTTGTAAGAATTTGGATTTTTTTTTTTTTAAATATAGTATTCTTCCAAATTAACAAGAATTCTGACAGAGATCAGTGTACTGTATTTTTCTAATGCATATATTTATCACATCTAATTACTTTGTTAATTTTTTCCTTTCAGGAACTAGAAAAAGGACGATATGCAAAAACTGACTTGTACATAGCTCATGCTAACATTACTGGTAGTAAGTCCCTGCTAATTGCTACGAACAAGCGAATTATGCACGTTACTCGTAATGATATCCTGGGCCACCTTAAGGTTAGTTGCTGGTGTGATGTTTATTTTACATTTTCTGTCACTGATGTAACTCAAATGCAGTTTCTTCTCTGTACATTGTTTCTTATGACATTATAAATCTTCCCTTTCAATCCTCTCAGGACACTTAATCTGCCCTCTCTGCATACTATGAATCTGCCTTCTCAGTACTCTCAGCCCACTATTGATCAGCTTTCTCACATCCCCCCACCCCTCCCTCAGGACATCATTAACCCTTTGAAAGTCCAGACCCCCAGTCTGAAAATTCCCCACAGGGGAATGGTAGATAATCTTTTTTTGAAAGTAATAAAACAAAAAGTGCGAAATTTGATCCAAAATTGACGAAATTATGCTCTTGCGAATTTTGCTGTCAGTAATATTTATGCATCGGCGATTTTGCCCACTTTGAGTCCTATTTTCCGCCAATTACATTATTCCATTAGACAAAATTCTTAGCTATTTTGCTAGTACAGTGGACCCTCGACCAGCGATATTAATCCGTTCCTGAGAGCTCATCGTTAGTCAGAATTATCGTTAGTCAAGTTAATTTTCCCCATAAGAAATAATGGAAATCAAATTAATCCGTGCAAGACACCCAAAAGTATTGAAAAAAAAAAATTTTTACCACATGAAATATTAATTTTAATACACACAAACTGAAGATTACATGCACAGTTACATGACACTTACCTTTATTGAAGATCTGGTGATGATTGATGGGATGGGAGAGGGGGGGAGGTGCTAGTGTTTTAGAAGGGGATCACTTCCATTAGCACTTGAGGCAGCAAGTCTTTTAATGGGGTTACTTCCCTTGTTCTTTTAATGCCACTAGGACCAGCTTCAGAGTCATGGACTTCTGTCGCACAACATATCTGTCCATAGAGGGCCTGTCCCTTTCCCATTCCTTTATACTTTCCTAAAGTAGTTCACAACAGTGTCAGTGTAATAGTCCCCAGCACGGCTTGCAGTAGCTGTGTCAGGGTGATTTTCATCAAAAAAGGTTTGCACTTCAAGCCACTTTGCACACATTTCCTTTATCTTAGAAGTAGGCAACTTCTTCAATTTCTCTCCCCCCTTCTGAAGCGTTTCCTCAGGTTTTGGCCCTCTTGCTGTTGAAGATGATCTAGCAGCTCATCAGTGGTTAGTTCTTCACTGTCCTCACCACCAACTCTTCCACATCCCTCCCCACTAACCTCCAACCCCAAGGACTTCCCGATGCCCCCATTGGATTCCTAAAAACTGGCATAGGATTCTCAGGGGTTAGCCTAAACCCTTCAAAATCCTTTTGTCTACACATTTCTGGCCACAGTTTTTTCCAAGCAGAGTTCAAGTCCTCTTAGCATTTCCCTTTCCCAAGCCTTACCTATAATGTTTAACAATTGAGGATGGTAAAATGATCTTTCCAAAACTCTCTTCGAGTCAGTTGAGTTTTTGAGGTCACTTCAAAGCACCTTTCAAACATAGCTTTTTTTGTACAGTTTCTTGAAAATTGGAATAACCTGCTGGTCCATGGGCTGCAGGAGAGGAGTGGTATTAGGAGGCAAAAACTTCACCTTAATGAAGCTCATGTCCCTAGAAAGTCGCTCTGCCAAGTCTGAAGGATGACCAGGAGCATTGTCTAATACCAGGAGGCCCCTTAAGGTCTAATTTCTTTTCCCAAATTAGGTAATTTTCACATTGGGGGCAAAGCATGATGTAACCAGTCATAGAAAAAATCCCTAGTGACCAATGCCTTACTGTTTGCCCTCCACAGCACAACAAATTAGCCTTGAGGACATTGTTTTTCCTGAACACTCTGGGAGTTTCAGAGTGATACACTAATAAAGGCCTCACTTTGCAATCACCACTAGCATTGGCACACATCAACAGAGTAAGCCTGTTTTTTCATAGGCTTATGTCCTGGGAGTGCCTTTTCCTCCTGATAATGTACGTCCTGCTTGGCATTTTCTTCCAAAACAGGCCTGTTTTCGTCACAATTAAACACTTGTTCAGGTTTCAGTCCTTCACTGTCTATGTATCCTTGAAGTCCTGCACATATTTTTCAGCCGATTTGTGGTCCGAAAATGGCAGCCTCACCATGCCTTATCACACTATGAATGCCACTACGCCCTTTTTAAATCTCTCAAACCAACCTTTGTGGCCTTAAAATTTACTCGCATCACTAGCTGCTGGTATTTTTCTAATTAAATCGTCATGCAAATTCCTAGCCTTTTCACATATGATCGCTTGAGAATGCTGTTCCTTTTTGCTATCTGTTTCTTGTTTATCCACACCAATAAAAGTCTCTCAACATCTTCTATCACTTGCGATCTCAGTTTTGAAAACATAGTTGCACCTTTTGGGAAGAACAGCTTCCTTGATTGCCGTTTTTTTGCCCACAATAGTGCGATGGTTGATTGGGGTTTATTATACAACCTGACCCGCTCAGAGATACGCACTCCACTTTCATATTTACAATGATCTCTTTCTTCATCTCCATAGTAATTCTCACCCTTTTTGCTGTAGGGTTGGCACTAGAAGCTTTCTTGGGGCCCATAGTGACTTATTTTGCAGGTGCAATCACTAAAAAGGCTGTGATAATATGAAATGTTCCAGTTGTATGTTTGGAAGCGACCGCGGTGGCTGGCTGGCATGTAAACACTGGCACCAAAGGGACAAGAGAGGCGCGCTCAGGCCAAAGTGGACGCGTATGGTACGGAACGAATAGCGCTGGTCGGGTTTTTAAGCGCTAGTCGAGGCAAAATTTTTGCGTTAAAATGTATTGCTAGTCACATTTATCATTAATCGATGCTATCGTTGGTCAAGGGTCCACTGTATGTGTTTCATTTTATCTATTAAGTAAAAGAAATTGCCCAGTCAATTATTTCAGTTACCCCACACAAAGTTTAATATATTCCAGTTTCAAAATAGGGTTCAGAATGAACACTGCAGGCATTTCTAGCACTAAAATAACATTTTTCCCCTGTTTTTTGTTATGTTTCCAGGCTTTACACATGAATCCCATTTTGATTTTTATTCACATATAAAATAGAAGATTTACTGTTATGCAATATATTAATAATTGTATAAATAATATCAGTGCATTTGTGAATGCACATTAGACCCACCAGCTGACATATATTGGATGCATGATATGATCTGTTTACTCTTGAACATTGGCAAAGATCAAACATTTTTGCTACTTTGAGCTCAATTTCAAGCTATTTTTTATTCCTAAAACCAATCAAAATCATCTCTATTTCTGTAATATGTCTTCCATTCTATCAAATAAGGCCAAGAAACTGCGAACACAAACATAAAACCCATACAAAAATACACAGCAAAGTAGCTGTTTTAATCCAAAAACACGATTGCAGTTTTTTTTTCTCTTTATGCACTGCATGCTGCAAGATTTGTTTTATATGGTGCACACTTACCACATAGATGCATTCTCTCATATCTAGGCCCAAATTTACCACTCACAGCTTATCTTAGTGAGCCGAGCTCGTGATGTAGTACTACGGTTTGGACTGTGGCTTCAAATCTGTAGAACTATAGGACGGACACTCGAAGGGTCAATCCGTCTTCTCAGGACACAGTCAACTCATTTTTTTATAATCATGTCTACTTTGTAATTACATTATGATACCTTCTCAACAGGTAATTTTTCATTCATAAACTTTCATATGTTTAGAATAAGTCTGGAGATATGTAGCATTTCATGTTCATTGCTAGTGATTCATTCACTATTAGTGAAACCCCTCATTAATGGACTAATAAGGGAGAGGGGATGTATGATAATTGTAAAATCAATTTTTCAGGATCATCTGCTAGTTTTTCTGAACTAACATACTTGGTCCACTGATGCAGCAGACAGTTGAACACTAAAGAGTACATGTATTATAACCTGTAGTACTACAATACAGTACTGTGCTGTATAGTAATTTTACTTGCTATTTTTGTGGTGGAAAGTTGAGGTGTAAACTGCCATGATGTATAGTTGTAACTCAGAATAAAAGTTTATCCTGAGTTAGGAGCTGTAAAGTTCTTTTAACATCTCAAGAACACAGTGTGCAAGTTTGTCCATGCTTCTACTGTTATCAGATATTGTTTCTCAACACCATATTTTTCTCATACCCATGCCACTGAAATGCTAGGCTCAACCTTTAGTACTTCAAGTTCCTGCTTAACACTGAGAACCACACCTTTCCTCTTGGCACCACTTGCTTAAGAAATCATTGTTAATTGCACTTTATTTATTTTGTTAATAAAGTCACACCAAACTCTTTAAATCCAGGGAAAATTAGAGACTGAATGGCAAGTGTGCATGCAAGTGAGCACATCAGTAAACTGGCATGAGGAATCTACAGCTCAGGGAACAATGAAAAAAAAAAAAAGTCCTGGATGTGGATGCTCTAGCTAAAACCACATAAATGTCAGTCATTGGTTGGCTGCATTTGAAGTGGCATTATGAGCATTAGCAGTGTCACTTTCACTCTTGTCTCAAACCCATTCTGCTATATCAGAATCACTATCCTCACAGTTAGTGCCCTTAGGTATTAACAAGTGGCTAATTGTGGTGGGAGTGAAGGTTTCATGTCTGCACTTCATAGTTAACAAAGGCTGAGGGAAGAGCTCTTCCCATCATGCTCTGGGTCGGGCAAGATTTTTCTGTATACTGAGCATGCTCAGCTTTCAGATCCATTCTCTTATCTTTAGGCCTAAGACATTTGAAGGCACTATGAATAATGCCTAGAGATTTGTCACCCGCATAATGTCAGAGGATCTCACCTTCGAAGACCACAACAATGTATCTACCTCATCCGCTAGGAAAATGATAGGATGGATAATGAGAACCTTCGAAACTAGGGACGCCAAGCCCATGACGATTCTCTTCAAATCGCTTGTGCTCTCTAGGCTGGAATACTGCTGTACACTAATGGCCCCCCTTCAAGGCTGGTGACATTGCAGACCTGGAGAGTGTACAAAGAACTTTCACAGCACACACAAGTATGATAAGGCAC